GCCAAATAGGGAATTACATGACATTAGAAAGAAATTATTGCGTATTAGTGAGTTGACTTTTTCCCTGTGGGCGCTGGTCAGAAACGAAAGCAGCGGTGGCGATTTTTCACCAACCATCGACGAACATGTTCCGCGTGGCCGCGGGTAATGTGGCAGTCATTCCGTCCAGCTCTCGGGTGAGTTTTACTTGGCAACCCAACCGGCTTGTGTCGGTGAGTGCGAAGGCCATGTCTAGCATATCATTTTCGTCGTCGTCGGGTTCGGGAAGGAGGTCGTAGTACTCTGGAGGCAGAATAACGTGACATGTCGAACATGCTACGGAGCCTTCGCAGGCGCCTTCCGAAGAAAGGAGTCAGAAAACAAGTGGTCGCGCAAAAGAAGGATGCGTACCTTCCAGGTCGATATCATGCTCATGTGCAATCGATAATAGATCATCCCCTTCATTAGCTTCGATAGTTTTGACGAGCGAGCCCTTCGCGTCCCGGAAATGTATCGTGATTCTACGAGGTGCTTCAAGTCGGTAAACGAGGGCATTGTATAGGAGTAAAGTGCACTAACCCAGTTCCGGGCTCTGGACGTGTTATATCCCCGTGCCATACGCCTTGAAGGTTGCAAATACATTCAGAACCGAAACAAGCGGGAAAAGACTACGGACTGGGGGAAGAGTGGATATTTCGCGTCCGTGGAATGGTACACCGTGGCTTTGCTTCAATTCTGAGGCATGACTGGGTAAAGAATCTTGGCCTGCACTGTGCTTTTGAAAGGGAGAGCAGTCTTGAGCGTGAAGCAAGCATGAAAAGGCGTGTTATGGGAGCTGAGAAGCAAATGGGTTTTGAAGCCTTGCGAGGCCCAAACTCGAGTTGCTCGTCGTTGAACAAATGAACGTAGAGAGAGCTGCGATCACAGGTTTTCGGGTCGTTTGCGTTATTACGGCGCTTTTCGGCTTGTGTCGGGAGTAAGCAGCAAAGGTAAGAAACGTTACGGCATCGACTCCGTCCTCCCACTTGAACCACAATATTTCCTCTAGGGTCGTCGCCTATCTCTAAACCACCTTAAATCAAGCTCTCGGTGAAGGCGCCAGTGCCAGTGCTACGCAAAATACAGTCTTTGCACTGCTCGTGCAACCGACCTGAGTCAAACTTCGACCGGAAGCGCTTTTTTTTACCTGGTTTGACCACATGCTGCCTAAGCATTCTTATCTTGACCATGGCCACCCCATACACGAACTCTGTCAATGTCTCTTCACGGCGCACGATCCACTGCGCCAACGATTCATCTTGGAAAACACTTGATCTAGTACCCTTTCATCTCGGCCCATTCGACCAAGTGGCTGGGTTTGTACCGATCCGAGTCGTCTGGGTCTTCGAACAACCAAACGAATCGGATGTACATCTCCTCCCACCGGAGCGTCTCCAGCTCGCTCTGACGTTGCTTCTGGACTACTACCCTCATCTCACTGGACGCCTTCAAATCAATCCGAGCAATGCAATTCGCGAGATTGTTGGTCTGGGCACTGGCGCTGAACTTCTCCTTGCCCAGTGCAGCGAACGACTTGATGCATTTTCCTCTCCTGGAGTCAATCCGTCAGCGTCGCGTCGCATCCTGATCCAGGATCTGCCCGACGGTGGAAATGCGTTACTCGCGCCGTTCGACCCAAGTCCCCGAGGCCACCTGTCGCAACCCCATATTCGCCGTCCAGCATACAAGTTTCGCATGTGGAGGTGTCGCCCTCGGCGTGCGGGTTCATCACACCGTATGCGACGCAGATGGTTTCTTCCAGGTCGTGCGCGATCTGGCTGAGTTATACCGCGGTGTTGTGTCCTCTGAAATCAACGGCGGTGTTGCGTCACTGGCTCATGCTCCTCACATCCGGCCTTACATGTCGGAATTCGTTGGAAACATGACGCCAGAGGAACGTGAGGCGGCGCTCAGATTTCCAACGGCAACATTCCGTACAGAATTGACACCCCCCGCGCCCACCACAGTCTATCCACCCCCCTCTTTCTCCCGTCGTAGGGCGCTACTTGCGCTTTTCCAGCCTCGAACTCGCCGCTCTCAAGGAAAAAGCAGCAAATCCAAATGGCGGCGGCTGGGTATCCACCTTCGAGGCCCTGGCAGCCCATATCTACCAGCGCGTCCATCGAGCACGGCTGCAGTTGTACTCTGCGAACCCGGACCTCCGCGACCTCTCCCCCACCGATTTCCTCATGCCCATCAACCTCCGTACCAACCTCGGGCTTCCACCACGCTACTTTCCCAACGCTCTTTTCGTATCGTCCAAGATTATCCCATCCGACATGCTTGCCACTGGTCCCCTTTGGCAGGTCGCCAAGGCCGTGCACGACATCGCTCGCTCCAGCGCCTTGACCAAAGACCAAGTCAACGGCACTCTCAAGTGGGTCGCGGCCCAAGCGGATACGCAGAAAATCACCGAACACTTTCAGTACGGGAGCGGGAGCTTTATGGTTAGCCAGTGGAACAAGTTCGATATGTATCTGGCCTCTGTCTTTGACGTAGCGCCAGTGTTGGTGTCGCAGCCGTTTACGCAGAGTTCTTTGGTTGATGGCCTGGTTTATTTCTTACCAACGGAGGAGTTGGGCACGGGTGGTGATGTGGGTGCTATCGATGTGAGCTTGGCGTTGAGCGAGCCAATGTGGGCCTTTATGGATCAGGATGCGCAGGTAGTGTGAAATGTTCGTTGAAAGTGGTTTTAATAAGATGGATGCAAGACAGGCGACGAATTGTTTCAGGCCGATTGTGTACGCGGAGGTCCTAAAAGGGTTGACAGCAAAAGTTAAAACTGACCACCATTTGCAGCCCGCGCATTATTGCCGCTTGGTTCTTTTTCCCTCGTAATTATCCTGTTCTGTCTTGTATCTTTATCTACTTACACCTGCTAGTCTTTCCAAGGAATCCCGGTCGCATCCATTGTCTCGTTCACGATTGCATCGGCGTGGAATTCCTTCAATTATCCACGCCGTCAATCGACGGAACTCTGCGGCATGTAACTCTTCGGAGGCTCCCTTTTAATGCCTAGCATCTTCGAGTCTATCCGCAACGCGGTCATCCCCTCACCTGTCACACTTTCGGGTTCCACCTATCAGTTTCATATGTCGCCGCTGTCTCTGCCGTCCCCGCGCGCGGTTGCGCTGTATACCTGGCGCATTATTTCATTCTCTGGGTATGTTCTCTCATATCTTGTTCGACTGAAGAGTTAACTTTCATCCAGATCTATGCAAGTCAGCATTAACGCCGGTGGTACGTCCCCGTTAGCAACGTCTCCTTCAGCGAAAGGCCACGCCGTGGACTAAGCGCGGAGAGGCCATGTTACACCTGCGGCGGACAAAGGGGATAGTGGTATATTGTGAGTTGACCGTGGTGCAACGTTAGTGGTTGAAACGACGGCAAAAGGCGGCAAGCCGCAGGCACTGGTGATGGAATATTGGAGAAACACTGCACGAAAAGAGGCAAACTGTCTGTGGATCTTCCTATCAGGAAGGAAGCAGATTTTAACCGCAGGAGCTGGGAGTTGTTATCAATACAAGAGCGTGGCGCCACCACTTCGGTTCAAGATCAAAAGAAGTTTAAGAGCTGTACAGGTTGTTAAGTTCTGAAAATGTGACTCCTTTTTGGGGCTGACACAGATCTAGAGCTGACACCTGCTGCCGTGACAAACAGCTTCTTGGATGGATTAGCTCTCTTTTTTATACGCTGGACGGCCTCCAGTGCTTGTCCTGCTCCCATCCTGTAATCCACATATCCTCCTTTTCCCCTGGAGTCGTATAATCACCCAGTAATGCCCGCCGCACCCAAATCCCCTCCCCAATCATCACGAAAGCCCGGGGCGCCTAAAGCGAAAGGCGTCGTTCGCGCCAAGTCCGGTTGCTACACATGCAGAATCCGTAGAAAGGTCTCTTTCTTTGTTTCCCAGTCCAATCTCCTTCCGCTTATCTTTTTGCTTTCAGAAATGCGATGAACAACGGAACGCAGAAGGTCACTGCGAGACGTGCGTCCGGCTGCGCCTCGAGTGTCTCGGGTTTGGTGCAAAGCGTCCCTCCGGATTTTGTGTAGGTTCTTATATCGCGTCGTACAACTCGTTCTAACATCTTGTCTTTGTAGGAGAACCGGAACGTGTCCGAAGTGCGCGACAAAATCAAGGCTTTTCTCGCTGCCCAGGGTATGATCAAAGGCCATTCCGGTGCTGGTCCCCGCGGCCCCGAGCATGACTCCCCCATTCTGCGGCTCGAAGACTCCACGCCCTCCTCGTCTGAGAGTCCTCCAACGCCCACATTGTCGCTCTCTCCCAGTGATATGGATCGGGATTCGCAGATAGTGTGAAACGTGGTACCTAATATTTGTTGAATGTGATTTTAATACGATGGCAAGGGAGGTCACGGATTGTTTCAGGCCGACTGTGTACGAGGATCGTTGACGGCAAACACAATCTTGCGTGATGTAACGAAGCCAACCGAACATGCAAAAAATAACATTCAACGAAAGGCTACACTGAACTTATGGCTAACTTGTGCCTGTCTTCGATGCTCAGCTCTCGACGTCGGTTCTTCTCATGCCTCCAATGTTAGAAAGCGTATGACCTTAAAATCCATATCCCGAAGCCGCAACTTGCGTGAGCGAGCGATGCTAGGGTATAGGCATGGCGCAGTTGGAGAGTTGATGGGTGGCTGTACAAAATTAACACGAGCAAACACCTAACCGCCGCTGTCCTAAATAGGAAGGAGCGGTGGCCTCGTATTTCTTGGGCACAATTGTGCCTCTAGGTATGGTGCAGGAACCAATGAGACAGATTTACGACTGAATAACATCGAAATAATTAATCAGAGTCGGAGTATGGGGTGTTTTATCGCTTTTAATGAATTGGCTAATGCCTTGCGCCTGGAGCGAATTGGTACAGCGAAAAATTGGGTATTGAAAGCGTTCAGTAGGGGAAGAGTCAGGGAGTCAAAATATCGATTAAAACGAGTCCGCAAAGCAAAAGAAGATAGCAGCAACTCGTTTCGATCGAGTGACCTCGGGGTAACTCATTACGCAATCGCTTACATAATTATATGGGCCCCGCGCGCTTCCATCTGCGCCATGCTGCTCTGGAAGATGAATGCGAGTGGTAGAATGTAGGGGGAAGTGTTGTTTAGCCACGCGGAAGTGTTTTTCTTTTTTTTTTGCCTTTTCCTTTTTTTTTTTTTTTTTTGCACCAAGTCCGAAAGGGGTCGCGACTTTGCGTCATCCCGTCGATTGATTCCCTGGTAGAAATAAGTGCACATATGTAGCAGGATGTGAGGATTAGTTGGGGACAATTCTCTCTGTCGGGAAGTCGAGTTTGATCGATTGATGGGAAGAAATGGAACTTATGGCAAGCAAAGACAACAAGCCCCTTCGCTCGCGCGCTTCCATCTGCGCCATGCGCTATTGTGAAATATAGTGATTACGACGGCCGATAATTATTACATTTGTGCTTCGTCTATAGATTCCGCCTCAGCTACGGCGCCCTTGTAGGCAGGTTTGGGCCTTGGACGTAGTTTCGCCGAAAGCCCGAGACCCGACTCGGCCTCCGCTTCTACCCCTTGAAATTCTGCCTCGTCCTCAGAGGCCACCTTCTTGCGAGAAGCACCCTTCTTCGCACCCTGACCAGTCCCGCGTTTCGGTGCTGACGCGGCCTTGGATTTTCCCTTGGCCTTCTTCTTGACGGGGAGGTCCTCGTCCTCGGACTGACTATTTTCAGCCGTACTTGCCGCTGGGGACTGGGAGCCGTGTTTGCGTTTCTTGCGGAAATCGGACACGACTTGTTGCAGACGTTTGCTCGCGTAGGCCTGACGCTTCCGAGGGGCAATAGTCCCACTCCCCGTAATGTCGAAGAAGCCATCGAGATTCCCCTGTTTGTTTAATGCGCCATTCTATGCAGTGTAAGCTCAAGCTCGAGGAGTCCTTATCGACGTACCTGCCCACGCTTGCGGATCTTCTGGATGACGGGTAATAAAAGCTCGTCGACTTTGACCGCGGACCAGCTAAGCTCGATGTAGAGAAACCTAATCCCAAATGAGACTCGAAAATGACAAGATCGACATTACTGACTCTCGGAGCGCGTCAAGGTCAGGCAAGCCCCATTTGAAAGGCTCATCCGACTCGTCGACAGTGGGGTGGTAATAGGCATCCCTCTGCGCAATTTTAGGTACACCTGATTAAAGAAAGCAACTTGGCACATACCACGACTGCGTTCGGCCACTCTGGGGGCAGGTAGAGGTCCTTGAAGTTTTTCTTCTGAAGGGAAAGTGAGTAAGGGATTGACCGATATTCGCAACACTTGCAAATCGCCTCCGAAACTTGGAGTTGTTATCCTCCGGTTTGTCCTTTCCAGACTGCACCTTTGTCCACCAGTCTTTGAATTTGTGCAGCCCATCTTCCCCAGGAAACTCGTCCAAAAGTTCCATCGCGACGACTGGGCCGACGCCGGGAAGTCCCTCGACATAATCACTACCAAGCAGGTACGCAAGTCTAATGAGTGTGTCGCGGTCCAGACCCAACTCGCGACTGAGATCTGAGAGCAGAAAGCACTCGACCGTTTTGGACTGGTTGAACATGTTCTTGAAGACACGCTGGCTCCCAAACAAAAACACGTCCGAGTCGTCCGTGATCACACCGTTGACGAGCCCCAGATGGACGAGTTCCGCGCACTGAGCCTCAGCCTCCATCGGCGCAGTGATATACGGGATGCCGAACAGACCCAGCATCGTCTACACATGTTAACACAAGCAGAGTCTAAATCATGCAATGACCCACCATGATTTGCGATATCATCTGCTGGTTTATGTCCTCGGAATCTCGCATCGCTGCCTTTTTCTGCGCGTTCAAGACCCTGATCTCGTCGTCGATTTCTTGCCGAACGTCATCCAGGTCCTTGCCCTTGACCTGCGACATGAACCGCGCAAACTCGCCCTCTTCTGCGTCCGGATCCATCTCTTGTGCGGCGTCCCAGTCCTCCGCAATGGGGGACGGAGCTCGTGGTTGTGGCTGTTCTAATCCGACAACCATCGGAGACGGGGACCTTGACCAGTCGCTAATAGGTTCGTCCTCGACTCCTACATCATTCGAACTTGTTACGTCCGGTGAAGAGTTCTGGAGCGCGAGCGGTTCTTCGGAGACTGGGTCTACGTTCCGTACAACTACTAGGCGGCGTTCGGGAACAGGAGATGCAAGTCGTGGAGGAGGAGGTGGATCGGGGACGACAGCGGTTTGTGTTACCTCAAACTGCTCAAACGAAGTTGCAGCTGGTGGGTCCGACATTTCGGGCTTAAAAACCGGTAGTACCTCTTCCATTTCTTCATCCGAAACTTCGATCGGCTCTCGGTCGATTTGAGGGGGAGATGGAGGAGAAGGCGTCGAGGGCCGAGGAGCCGATGACTGCAACAAGACAGGCTTCCCAAATAGCGGGGTTCCGGCCGGAACGCCTTCTGTCGTTGAATAAAGTACGGGTCTTGGTTGGATTATAGGTGGTGAGGAAGGTGAAGGTATTGGTGTAGGTCGCGATACATGTGAAGGCGCCGCTCTCGCCGCCACAGGTGAAACAGTCTTTGTCTGCAGCAACACCGGCTCCCCGAACATGGAGCTCGACGTGGTTGCGGGTTTCGTCCGTGTCCGCACGAGCCCTGGGTTTGCGATGGACAACACAGTCTCCAGTCGATTCCCATGCACAAACGCATCGTCGTCGTGGAAAGAATATCGAGAGACAGCCTCGGATGGTCTGTGCGGCGTTGTGTCAACGAGTTTGGAAGACGAGGCGACAGCATTGACCATCACAGGCGGGCGGGGACGTGCAGGTGCTGCATTGGCTTGATCGATAGATTCCTGAATCGCCAAAGCAAGTTCCCCATCGTCCTCGTCGTCAATTGTGGCGTCGACCATGTCGAACAGGGGCAACGAAACGGGATTCTTTCTCGGTATTACAGGTTTTTTCGGCGCGTGGCGATTGGCGATAGCGGCCAGGTTCATCGATCGTTGAAATTCTTGCAAATCGGCGTCTGGAACTCCCGCTGACGGACTAGACATCGGTAGATTAGCGATGTACTACCGCAAAGACAACAGGCGAACATTAGGACCTCCTCCATATCCTCGTCGCTATCATCTGGGACAACTTTAGGGTCCTGGTCAATCTCTATCGGCTTGTCCCGCGTCCCGTCGTCCCGGATCCCAAGAATCCACCCGCCGTCATGACCCTCGTTTTTTATCAACACGTACTCTCTGTTGCGCTCACTTGCAACGCGAACAGGAATGGTGAGGTTGGCTTTACCGATACTGTCCGTGGTCATAAGCAACTGTTGCGTCAAAGTGTTCCGCTGCCGCAGATTCTGAATCTGCTGTTTAGAAAAGTCGAGCGGAGTGGGTGCGATTTTGAGCATGTTCTGCAGACGAGCGTAGGACGTCTGGCGCGATTTGAGTCGGAGGTCTCCGACGATTTCGTACTGCACTTCGGTCGGCAGCTCGCGGAACGCAGGAGAGGTAACATCAAAGTCCTCTGGCCGCATATCCTCGATGAATTCGCGCAGCTCGTCCTCGGTAGCCAGACGCGGATCGGGGACCGCAGCCCGAGTTGCTTTTGCGACGGCAGCCTCAAGATCAACGTCTGGGAGGTGGTATGGATCATGATCATGGAACTTGGGCTTGCTGGGGGACACCGAGGACGGTGCTGTCGTAGTTTGCCGCGCAGGGGTCTTGGGCATTGAAGAGTCAATGTCTTCGAGGTACACCGTGTTGTCGTCGAGTACAACGGGGCCAGTGGGAGCTTTGCCCTTGCCCTTAGCCGGTTTCCTGTAACGAATGAGCGAGGACAAAGAAAAAGGATGCACGCGACATACTGCGCTCCTTTCGCGTGTTTCAAAGCCTCGCGTCTCAACTGAGCAGCGAGAAGCTTTTCAGCGAGCTTAGCGTGGCTTGTAGCTGCTCCAGTCTTCTTTTTCCTGCGCTCATTCTAAGGAGTATGAGGAGACGAAGCTCTCCGTGCTTTAGGCGGACTTACAAGAGTGTTTCTCTTCAGAGCGGGAGCGCCTCCGTCAAAAACAAACACAGGTTTAATTCCGTAAAACAAGAGTTTAGCGATTCGTCGGAGAAAGCCAAGGACGTGAGCATTTGACAGCGCCTTCCCGTCGTTATCGCGCATGGTGGCCTGGAATTGGTATATCCAGATACTCGAGTCAATCGCCATTACTTGACCCTCCATAGTCTCGAGCCTAATCCAATGTCTCAGTCACGGAGAAAAAGAGAGTCGCGGAAAGCCGACATGACGGGCCTGCCCACAGGCGCGAGGAGCTTCCATAAAGACTTTACACCCATCTTCCATGGGGGTTCACGGTGGTTGAGAACAAGCGCGTCCGGACGTGACTCGCGATCAATTAGCGTGGGAAGGCTCGCTCGTGGCCTACATAAGCCGGGTCGGCGCCTAATTGGGGCTTTGGATTCTTTGCGACTCCCCTCATGCTCCTAATGTGGAGGATGGGTATGCAGCCATGAGTTCGGGTGATTCGCGACAGTGGCTCCATTCATCGCAAGATGGTTGCGAGTAGGCCGAGGTATTTCTCCTCTTTTCCTTCGTTTTCCAGTTTTTCAACGACGCCAGGTTCTCTGATGTGCACATACGCCGGTTGAGCGGAGTGTTTTCGGAGGTACGTTTCTCGTCGCATCCTTCTCCTCTTCTTACGGTCTTCGAAAGAGGTTCCATTTACCACTTGCTGCGCTCTGTGTACTATCTACCCTTGGACGTGCCGCTCTCTCGCCGGAGCTGGCTCCCTCCTTGTGTAGACGGTCCGCGCGGTTTGCAGGGTTTGGTTCAACTCGGTATGTGGTCTGTCTTCTGGCACCCTCAAAGTCTAATTCCTCTCTGCAGGGTCGCGATGTTTCCAACACTATAAGCGCTGCTTCGCTAGTCAAAGTTGCGACAGACCTCAGCTCGAGCATCGCTGCTCGACCGAGGACGACGGCAGAACTGACAGCGGTTGACGTGCGTCTCTTTTCTCTTTTTCTCTTGCCGCTTCTGAACAAAATCTCAGGTAGCCTTTCCGGCACGTCGTTTTCAAATCAATTACCCCAGGTCCCCTTC